TTTACACGCTTTTGATAAACTCACTCTGTCTGTTGTCGTATCCTCAAATCTTGTAACTCAATTTTAACCCACTTCCCAATGTCGTATCGACTGCAAACTTGGTATACGTATGTCATACTGGTGACAATACTATATTCTATTATGAAAAATGAAACATATATTTTTTGAAACAATCTTTTTTTATATGTTATGTTCCGGCTTGGGTCTAATTGTCCATGGTCAACTAACGTTGGCTGTAAATCGCCACGCTCCCTTACGCTGTGGCAAGCCTCGGGGCCACTTCCTGGAGTCGTGGAGTTCTACCATTACTCGTACGGTACATTTCATTAAAGCGTGTTTAAAGAAAAAGGTATTTTAAAAATATGACTTATTATTTTATTTTGTATTTGCTCCTGTTGCTTATCCAGGGAAAGCCTCGCTTTAAATCTCGTGTCAAATCTTTCCGGGATGGGGGCCACTGGTTGCTATGTATGATCCCACTTGAATCACGTGCTATCCATTGCTTTTGAGAGTGTGGTGTATTGGGGGTTACTAAGGAATGTAATGCATACATATGGAGTGTCAGTGATTCGGAGACGAGGTTTGTAGGAGGCACCTGCTTTTATTTACAGAAAATTCACGGTCTCGTATTCTTTGGGTCTTTCGGTAAAGTCACGTAGATAGGTTCAAATTAAGAAAAATAATAAATATAAAATAAACAAACTACTACGTTTAAAAGTGTGCAAAGCCCTTAAAAGCAGTTGCATTTGGAGGCTTGCCCTCTTATTTTCTCTCCGCCTGATGAAGACCGCTTGTGTTGCGATCGAAACGTCGTGGGTTTTTTCCTTTAATTTTTAATTCATTTTTTTTGCTATTTTATTTGTATTTTCTATCTACGTGACTTTACCGAAAGAACCAAAGAATACGGTGTTAGACCAGAGGACGTGTTGACCAATCAGGTTCAAAGACAATGCCATATATTATCAGAGTAGGTTTTTTGTTTGCATTCTAACCACAAGTATTTGTGGTTAATGCAGACATGATTCCTTGTAAAAGGTTTCAGAATATTAATTCCTGCAGTCACGAAAGTTTCAAGTCAAAATTGTAATGCATAATGCATTTAGCATGCATAATCTATGTCCGCATTATCTCGTTGAGATGGTTACATGACCGGGTATGCATAATTGGGTGTCGCAGTGGCGAGATTATGTTAACACCCTCGCCTGGTACGCAAGAGCCCATGGGTTTAATCACTGGCGGATCATTGGGGTGGCACGTACCCCCCCCCCCCCCAATGATCCGATCGAAATACCTAAATTCGATCGGATCATTGGGGTTTATTGGTAATAAATCGGTATTTTGCGACCCCCACTGCCACTGTGTAGCATATTATTACGTGCCAGGGACTCTATGAGATGATAGGACAATAGTCTGAGTCAATAATTGGCAATAGGTAACGGCAAAGCGGTTATAAGTGACTCACAGAATTGTGCGCAGTTGCGTCTACAGCACACGACTTCCCTGAAGGCATTCACCTTCAGCGAGCGCGATGCCGATCACACAACGCGGTTCGAATTCGACCCTCGATCGATGGCTGCGCCATCGCCGCACACGCGTCGAATAAAAAGCAAGGGACAATACAATCTAGATTAGAAGTTTTTGTGACTGCAGGGATCCATAATCTTTGGTTCTTTCGGTAAAGTCACTTAGGTAGAAAATAAAATAAATGAAATCACGACACAATCGTCCGTCATCAGGTGGTTGTTCCACCTTTACTGAAAGAACCAAAGTCTTTACTTACTAACAACTCCTCTATCATTTTTCATTGCTGGAGGGGTTGCCCCCCCCCCCCCCCACCTGAAAATCCTGGTTCCGCCCTTGGGTTTAATCCCAGTACTGCCTTTTTTGTATTTGGATTGTCAGCCAACACCGGTTACAACCTCAAGTCGAGGTACACCGATTGTTCTCTTTTAGCCCCCCCCCCCCCAACACGTTCCATTCATTGGCTACCACATTCAGATAAGCCCTTCCCCTCCCTCCCCCTTAACTTGTATTTAAGAGCTCGTCTCTTGGAATTTTGCCTCACTTGATACAGTAAATTTAGCTGTGACGGTCCCACCTGATGACGGAGACTTGTGTTGCCTCCGAAACGTCGTGATTTATTATTTTTATTCTTAGGTTTTTTCGGTAAAGTCACGTAGGTAAAACATTAAAATGAATAAAAGTAAAATAAAATAAAAATCACGACGTTTCGGAGGCAACACAAGCTTCCGTCTTCAGGTGGAACCGTCACAGCCACGACAGCTGTATCAAGTAAATGAGAGATTGCAGGAGCTACCACTCCGTTTATATAATGGTTGGAGAGGGGGGGAAGGGCCAAGTACAGCACACTTTTTATTCATATGGTAAGGTGAGGCTTAAGACTAAGAATAGACTGCATAACAAAGGCTGAGCCTTTGTTATGGAGAGGTACGGTTTGTGACTCAACCTGTGACAAGGAGACAACCACTAAACATGGTAAACTTCTAATAGTCTGTCAAATAAGATTGGCCAACTAAGTGTAGTTAAATCTTTTTTGCATGGTTAATCACATCTTTCCAATGATTACTCAGTTTGTAACCATCATCACGGTTGAAATTATGTATGTGTTTGTATATTTGTATGGCTTCGTGTACAAACCTTTGATGGTAGCCAGGAGGTTTGCAGAGAACCTTGGTCTCGGAAAAGACAATTTCATGAGAGCCCACCGAGTTGTAGCAATGATCGGCAACGGCCGAAGAATCAGTTCTTCCGTGTTTCAGATCTGACTTGTGCTCGCGGACACGATCATAAACATGACGTTTCGTTTCTCCAATGTAGCAATCACCACAAATGCAACTCAATTTGTAGACTCCAGGATACTGTAAGTCAGGAACGACATCCTTCACAGATGGAATCAGATCACGGATTTTATGCACTGTACTGAATCGGACTTGGATCTTATGTTTGTTTAGAATTTTGGAGATCTTTTTGGTCACGCCTGCTATGTATGGTAACGTGATAGTTTTGGTCGGAGTTTCATGTGGCTGTTTCTGTGTGGTGGGAGAAACAGCTTGGCGGATAGTGCGGTCAGAGTATCCGTTGATCCTGAGAGCCCGATGTACATGTCTTAATTCACCAGCCAGGTGGTGTTATTATTTTATTTCTATAATAATTTATATTATTTTATTATTTACTTTTATTTTCCCCTACGTAACTTTACCGAAAAAAAACCTTAGAGTATGAATCATTGCAGTCACGAAAGCTTCAAATCTAGAATTAATCCCGGACCCTGACGATGCCTGTTAGATATTTCTCTCCTCGTGGTCACGTTTTGTTGAGATTTATTTGGCTCTAGATTTGAAGCCTTCGTGACTGCAAGGAGTCATACTCTTAGTTCTTTCGGTAAAGTCACGTAGGTAAAAAATGAAATTTAAATTAATAAAAATAAAATGTCTTTATTTTAATTTCATTTTTTACCTACGTGACTTTACCGAAAGAACTAAGAGTATGAATCCTTAATAAAAATAAAATGTATTAATTTTAATAAAAATTAATAAAAATTTAATTTATTAATTTTAATTTAATAAAAATAAAATGTATTAATTTTAATTTCATTTTTTACCTACGTGACTTTACCGAAAGAACTAAGAGTATGAATCCTTAATAAAAATAAAATTTATTAATTTTTATTTCATTTTTTACCTACGTGACTTTACCGAAAGAACTAAGAGTATTTATTTGGCTGCTCCTATAAGTTACCCACATATGATGCTGATGTGGTGGTGGTGATATCAGCAGCTTCGATTAGCTATATGATGTGTGGTCAGGTCGCATCTGAACAAGTAAAACCCATAAAAACAAAGTTTTTCACTATAAATCCTTTATATGCGTGGCGGCTAGAGTCCTCTCGTCCTCTGGCTTGAGATGGCTGCCACCTATGGGTCAGATGATTGCATTGCACCATTAAGCAATTGGTAATTAAATATAATATTTTTGTCCTAAAAAGTGTAAAATTTTGGATTTTTTTTTCCACGAACATTAATTGTCACGCACAACGAGTCTGTGTGGAAAATGTCAGCTCGATTGGATCACGGGAAGTGGGTTAAAAAACGACCGAAAGATTTTTACGGTCGAAAGCAAGCAAGCGAACTTAATATAAAGGATTTAAAAATAACTGAGTGCTCAGTGAGCTTTTACCCCGGTAAATAAAACAGCTGAGTTGTGTTTAATTGAGAGCTCTTGCGGGAGGGACCTCGGACGATAGATCATCTTAGATATGACGGAGGATAATACCCTCAGGACATCTCAAGCCACCCCAACGCTTGTTTTGCATTTACAGTATCCCTACACCTCGCAACGTTTGTGGCCTCCGGATAGCCGTGTAGAATGCCATTGTGCCAATGACAGGAGTGGTTTGTATGCATGGCATGGGATGCAGGATGCAATTGCATTCTCTAGCAAATAGCAGACTGCTTTTTTAAAATCCTTTATATTAAGTTCGCTTGCTTGCTTGCGTACTTGCTTGCTTGCTTGCGTGCTTGCTTGCTTACGACCGTGCAAATCTTTCAGTCGTTTTTTAACCCACTTCCCGTGATCCAATCGAGACAATTAATGTTCGTGAAAAATGTTTTCCAAAATTTTACACTGTTTAGGGAAAACAAATTAAATATTTAATTACCAATTGCTTAATACTGGCAGACAATCATCTGACCCATAGGTGGCAGCCATCTCAAGCCAGAGGACGAAAGGACTCTAGCCGCCACGCATATAAAGGATTTATAGTGAAAAACTTTGTTTTTACGGGTTATACTTATTTGCGTTCAGCTTAATGTCCTCCCCACCCCCCGCATTTCCGATTAGCACAGATGGCTACGTACGGTGCGAAAGAAGTTCAATACACACACGTGCGTGTCTGTATATGGCGCAATCGTTGCGTGAGACGTCGTCTGGGATGCAGTCACAGCAACAGCCGGTAGAGGGAAGGGGGGGGAGGCGAATATAAGAGAAGGAGCGTGGGGGTGGAGTGAGTGAGTGTGTGTGGATGAGACGCGAGACGGAGGCCCTTGCTACGGCTGCTACTCGCGTGTTGCATCAGGCGGAAGTCAGCTTCGGTGGTGGGACACGTGCGTTCTTGCAGAGGGTAAGTGAACACGTGTCCGTAGCGCGTACTTGCGTACGGATCTTACACGCGTTGATAATTTCGTTTGATGCGAGTGACCACCATCACCACCGCCACCAACAAACACACACCACCACCACACAGACCACGACCACCGCCACCACCATATACCACCACGGCACCACCACCAGACCGCCACCACCACACCCCGCCACCACCACCGCCGCCACCACCACCACCACCGCACACCCACCACCGCCACCACCACACCCCACCACACACCACCACCACCGCACACACCGCCACCACCTCCATCACCACACACACCACCACCTCCATCACCACCACCACACACACCACCACCACACACACCACCACCACCAGACCGCCACCACCACCACCCCCACCACACACACCACCACCACCACACACACCACCACACACCACCACCACCACACACACCACCACCACCACACACCACCACCACACACACCACCACCACACACACCACCCCACACACCACCCACACCACCACCACACACGGCGAACGAGACGTGTCGGGTCTCGCCCTCTCCCCCGGCGAGCACGTGGCGGCTAGACGACTCGGACGACACATCCGACACTTGTAGCTCCGATTAACAACAACAACAACAGCAGCAGCAGCAACAACAACAACAACTCGTATCGGAGAGATTTGATGGAGGAAGTGGTGGGAGGAAGTGGTGGGAGGATGGGGGCGAGTGGGAGATCCAGACCGGCGTCAAATAAAAAACTCTGAATCCACGTGGACGCAACACAGACACGTGTCGTTGACGGCTCTTTAACTTTGAAGCATTTTTAAATCCTTTATATTAAGTTAACTTGCTTGCTTGCTTAGGACCGTGCAAATCTTTCAGGTCGTTTTTTAACCCACTTCCCGTGATCCAATCGAGCTGACTTTTTTGCACACAGACTCGTTGTGCGAGACAATTAATGTTCGTGAAATTTTTTTCCCAAAATTTGACACTGTTTAGGGAAAACAAATTAAATATTTAATTACCAATTGCTTAATACTGGCAGACAATCATCTGACCCATAGGTGGCAGCCGTCTCAAGCCAGAGGACGAGAGGACTCTAGCCGCCACGCATATAAAGGATTTATAGTGAAAAACTTTGTTTTTACGGGTTATACTTATTGCAGATTTTTTTTAGTAGCAAGCGACTAAGATGGTCCACGAAGACCGTCACTGGCAAGAGATGAGTGTTGGGTGGGTGGCCAGCAACCGGGACCGCCTTTGTCTCCCCCGGTGGCGAGGTTGACACGTGGTCACTCGGCGAACACATTTGAGGCTGAGTAGACCTAGGGGTGGGGGGCAGGACCGGTTCGGAGATGAACGTGTGTTGGTGTGGCCTCGAGTGGGAATTTTCACTGGGGTTGGCTTAGTGCGCTAACTGCTGCGCCACCGCTCCCAATGCATTTGCAATGTGGAACAAAGACAAAGATCCCCCGTGTAGCCTGTAAGAGACTGTAGGGGCAAGTGCTGTTAGCGAGCACCTATGAAGGCCGGAACGGTACACGAGGGGGTGGGTGGCCAGCACCACGCCCGACCGCCTTTGTCTCCCCAGTGGCGATGTTTACACACCGCACCGGGTACTCATTTAGGGCTGAGTCGACCTAGGGGAGGCCCGGGACCGGTTCAGATCATCGTCACTGGTGTTGGCCGTGAGCGGGAGTCGAACCCGGATCGCCGGGTTCGTAGTGCAGCGTGGCGCTAACCACTACACCACCACTCCACAACACACACGTACACACACACTCCACCACACACAAAACACACACCACACTCCACACACACTCCACCACACACACGTACACACTACACACTCCACTCCACACACTCCACACCACACACTCCACACAACACACACACTCCACACACACACTCCACACACACTCCACCACACACACACAACACACACACTCCACAACACACACACAACACACACACTCCACAACACACACACACTCCACTACACACCGCACACATACCAACCACACACGCTCATTTCACGCAAACTCCACGTGGCATGCACTACATACGGGTTGGTCCAGATTTTTCGTGACCCCACGCCCCCCAAATAACCCCTAACATTATTTTTTTTCCTTGTGCGTTATTACTTTATGTATAAAATAACCTGATTTTAAAAAAAAATCCGCTTTAGAGAATGAAATGGGGGGTCACAAGACATCTGGACCACGCTGTACGCACGTGTGCGGTGGGAACACGTGTGTTTGAACGGTGAACACGCAAGGCTCATGTGTAAAAGGGGACTTGCGTGTTGCCCCGACACACAGGGATTGTGTCAAGGGGGGCCTTGTGTTGTCTCCACACAAGGCTTGTGTCAATTTCCAAAACCAACTTGCATCCAATGGCGCTGAATGGGGTACAGGGTGGGATTTGGTACGTGACACTTTCGTGGATTGGCGAGGCTAAATATAGACCCTCTCGTTGCAGTCTTAAAACAGATGCCCTGCCCTTCGAGTAATCCGCAAATTTGGACTATCCGTAAGGGCTGCCCGTCCATTATGAAATAATTATGAGTCAACAACATCATGGGACCTCCTTTGCCAGTACCAAAATATGAGAATAGGTTTTCCCCTTTTTTCTGGCAACAAAACAGTTGTGTTAAGATGTTAAAATACCAAAATGAAACCTTTTACAAGGAATCATATCCGCATTAACAACAATGCTTGTGGTCAGAATGCAAACAAAAAACGTATTCTGATAATATATGCATTGTCTTTGAACCTGATTGGTCAACACGTCCTCTGGTCTAACACCGTATTCTTTGGTTATTTCGGTAAAGTCACGTAGGTATAAAACAAAATAAATCACGACGTTTCGGGCGCAACACAAGCATCCGTCATCAGGTGGGAAAGCTGCTGCTGAGGCAGATTGTTTTAAAAGGTTTGAAGTGGGTGTAGCCCAAGGGTCATAAAGAAGTGGCTAGTTGATGTGTTGCGCCCGAAACGTCGTGCTTTCTTTCATTTTCTACCTACGTGACTTTACCGAAAGAACCAAAGAGTATGGATTCCTGCAGTCACGAAAGCTTCAAATCAAGATTGGTCCCCTAACACCGTTTGAGACTGGGCTCAAAAGAAAGCTGTTTCTAGCGTGGGGCAACACCGATGTTTTTTTTTACAGCGCCGATAAAGTCGACAATATCGACGTAGAGAGGTTTTTGTTAATGTCAACAATAACACATGCGGTGCAGCAATAAGAAATGTCAACAATGCTAAAGTGAATGTCAACACCACGCGCGTAAAATATTAGCAACAGCTGACTTGTTTTTTTTTACAACCACAATTGAAGGCACAATATAACCACAACCGTAACACACAACTACAATCAGTTTTCCATAACAGAGTTTTTTGGGTTGGATCGCGTGAATATATAAATGTGTCGTTAAACCCGCCACCACCCGACACAGCCAACTAGTAAGGGTTGTCACGTAAACAGAACGTGGCCAAATCGTCACTAGTACAGCTAGTAGTGTAGTGTATAGTGTAGTGTATAGTGTAGTGTATAGTGTACTAGTACAGCACACCGGTGTGTTGGAGAGCAAATCCACAACATTTATAATTAGAGTACGACGTTTCGCCAGTAATTGCAACCAGCTTCATCAGGCGACAGCCAGACTTGTGGAGAAATCCTCCTGTTACAGCCAGTTTATTTTTTGTAGCCATAACAGCTGCATTATAATCGCAACTCAAATGACAACCACAACAGCCGCGAAATAAAACCACAATCATTGTCACAACGGCAAGTTGTTAGGAAGTAGCACCTATTCAGGCTGGCATGGCACTCGAGTGGGTGGGTGGCCAGCACCACGCCCGGCTGCCTTTATTTCCCACTTGGCGATGTTTTACACACTGCAACCGGGTACTCGTTTGAAGGCTGAGTCGACCCAGGGGAGGTCCAGGACCAGTTCAGATAATTGTCATTGGTTCTGGACGTGAGCGGGAATCGAACTCGGGTCGCTGGGTTCATAGCGCAGCTACAACCAGATAACCACAACAGCCAGAATATAACCACAACGATAATTTAAGCACAAATCACTAAGGACGCATTATAACGCCATTATAACCACACGTGGAAGCACAATTGCGTAAGCACAACCATATTACGACTACAACCATATAAGCACATTATAACCACAGCCCCATTCTAACCAAAACCACATTATAACAACACCCATAACCACTGCGTGTGCCATTAAACCTAGCGCGCACGGTTTGTTTAATCCCATCAGCGATAGAACACTTTGTTGCTTTTACGCACGTGTTCCTTCCACGTAGCGTTTGGAAGATCCCGGAGCGTGACGCACAGACAGACTCGTGCGCATTATCCTTAGATCGCCCAAGGTTTTGCTATTCAGTGTCGGATGTATGTATGTATGTTGAACTTCCTTCTCACCGTACGTACCCAACCTGCGCTAATCGGAGGTGCGGGGGAAGGACAACAAACTAAACACAAAAAGCAGTTTCTAAAGAAATTATTTTAAATGTAGATTTTAAAGGGCAAAGCTCCAGTGGGCTTCCTAATATCGGAAGAAGAACGTTCCAGACGGCCGCGGAAGCGCATCTGAAAGCGCCGCGCGACGATGCGGTGACCACCGCTTTTGTTCGACGGCTGAGCCAAATGCCGCTGCTGCTGCTAGGATGACGATGGGAGTTCGCGTGATGGTGGCTTGTGCTCTTTGCAGAGGTCGCAAACGGGTTTTGATTCCTTACCCGTACCCGTACCCGGCCGCACCAGGGTCGCAAATGGGTACCCGTACCCAGGTACCCGTTCCCTACCCGTACCCGTACCCTACCCGAAATGAGTGACAAACAGTGACTCACCAGTGACTCGCGGCCTACCCGTACCCGTACCTGGCCGCACCAGGGTCGCAAATGGCTACCCGTACCCGGCCGGGTACGGGTAGCCGGGTATCGGGTAGGGTACGGGTATCGGGTACCCGGTTGCGACCTCTGGCTC